TCCGCGCATATGAATGTACAAACGCGCTATTGATTGTCCATTGATGCCCATGAATGTGCATGCATATTCAATTGTCGTTATTGAAAGTTGATCCGCACTAATGATGTTACTTGTGGTGTTGATGAAAGTACATTACACGTTATTGATACAACTATTGGCATAAATGAATGTACATTTTCTGTTAATGAACGGCAAAAGGTGTAAAAGGGATACTCCAGCTCATACAATGATGAAGGGCCTATGTTCCCAAGGGAGCGAATAAGACTAAGCTAGATCCTAGCTACATATTGTTTATTTTAATGCTTTTACGAGCAGACGCGGCCAACGTTTTTGGTAGAGTTACCCTGTCTGCGTTCCATAGCGGTAATCCTTTATAAGCTTCTGACCGGGTTTGGTTGCCGGACAACTTTTCTATTGGTTCTCAAACCTATTGTATCACGAATATCTTATCCGGCCATTATCATGAAGTACGTTAATGCCTGCTGATCATGAATCGCAATACCAGGAAGCAAAATAAATTTAACTGAGCCGTCAAAATTTCCCCCCCATATCTTGTGATTTGTGATTTATCTGACCATTTGGTAGGCAATTTTTTTGTTGACGTTGCTAACCAGCCCTATCTATTGACCCTGCTTGGCTGGGAACCCAGCCATTTCCGTTTGCTGGTCAAGAGGAATGTGGGCTTTGGGTACGACATCGATCGCTTGAAGGCGTGCCAACATGAAGGTTATTTGCGCTGGAGTATCCAAAACGGGTACTAAATCCATGGCAAAAGCCCTACGTATTTTAGGGTATAAAACATATGACTTTGTAGAACAACTACAATTTTTCCCAGATGAGTTTGACGACTACTTTACGTATGGAAAAAGACCTGACTTCCAAGCCATGTTCCAAGATGTTGACGCTGTAACTGACACGCCAGCATCAATTTTGTTTGAAGAGCTTTTTGAAATTTTCCCCGATGCTAAAGTGATCTTAACAGTTCGTGACAATGAACAAGTATGGGCTAAAAGTTACAGCGAACACTTAAAACTCTTCACGTGCTGGACGTGGATTTATGGGTATATGTTTTTGGGCAGGAAACGATTTCGAGTAATAACATCGCTCGATAATGCACTCCTAGGAAGCCGTAATCCTAGCTCGTCTTTAATCCACATCAAGCGATACCAGTTGCACAACCAACGTGTTCAGCAAATCATCCCAAAAGACAAGCTGTTGGTGTTTAATGTAAAGCAAGGTTGGAAGCCCTTGTGTGAGTTTCTCGGTCGAAAGGTTCCAGACGAGCAGTTTCCTCGAGCTAATGTTGGAGGGCAACATGCAAAGAGTTTTCTGCGTCATTCCTTCCAAAAGGTTCTGATGATTATGGCTTTCCTTGTTTTGGGTGTTGCTATCATTGTATTTCTTATAATAAAGAAGATCTAAAAAGTCCTTAAAATGCATCGAAAATAAATAAAGTAAAGGGATTAGTATATGTAATAGGACTCCATGCTGTCTAATTAAGAAATAATTGGACGAGGAAAGTTCTGAGGACTGACAAAATTGGATGAGGCCATAGGCATGAAATCCCATTACCTATTAATTATATAGCTGCCTAATTAATCCCATATCAACAAAACCTGTCCAATTGAGAAAATAATTGGACAGTTACCTATATGGGATTAATGAGAAGCTGTTTAATTAGATATGTTAATGCGCGAGTCTGGAATATGTCATGACCTGCAGAAACTCGTGAAAAGTTTGCAAGGCTAGCGTGACATTTAAAGACCCACATTTAAAAGTTATTGTAGTAAACAGGAAAGGTTATTAAGTAGAACACGTGCCTACAAGAGAAATCAGCTATCAGTAAGAGTTACTTTACCACAATGGATGACGTCCTACATACATATCCCAAGCTCCGTCAGTTGCCAACCCGACCTAGGCATGACTGAGATGGAGTGAAATTATTCAAAAGGCCATAACTCGCTCAAATTTGATTAGAAAGACTTCAAACCTTCCCCAACGAATGACAGAAATAAGAAACAAAAAACAGTTAGATAATTACATGTAATTTGATTCAAGGTTTTTCTTTAAAAGGAAGAGTAGCAAGGGCCTCTTGGCGCATGGGTTCTCGTGGGGCTGAACTTCGTGCGCGAGGCAAAGCTTTTCAATGTCCACTCGCCACTCCCTTAATCCTATGCACCACGAGGTCAGATCATTAGCAGTGGTATCTTCGATGACAAACCTAATATATGAGCTGAAGTTATTGCCTACGTTAATAAAGGTGGCTTTAAGTATTTTTATAGATTGCATAAGAAAAAAGTAAAAGTAAAATATTTTAAGGGCCATTCCTAACTTTTTACTTGGAGTCATACACTTATTTCAATAAAGTTAGTCACCTGAAAAGCTACAAAGCTGAGACCGACAAGGGTTATGGGTAGATACATTTTACATGTTTTAACCGCTTGATAACTGTTGTTGGACTTGAGATCTTTTACCAGTTACAAGTTCACCTCCTCTGAGCATCCTCAACTACTGCAGTTTGTGTTGAAACCTTTACTTGTTGAATATGTAACTTTTCCGATGATTCTCAGCGATCACAGCTTTCTCGGTTTTTGGTGACAAACTTTATTGAAATAAGTGTATACATTGTTAGTTAACAATAACAAAAAAAGTAAACGCCTTTACAGTTTTTAGGTCGATACAAGCGCATTACGTTTTGCGTTCTATTCGTTAATTTGATACACTTATTTCAATAAAGTTAGTCACCTGAAAAGCTATAAAGCTGAGGCCGACAAGGATTATGGGTAGATTCATTTTTCACGTTCAACCGCTTGATAACTGTTCATGGACTTGCGAATCTTTTACCGGTTACAGTCTCACCTCTTCTGAGCATCATTGAGCTGCAGTTTGTATTGAGGGAGCTTTGTATATATATGCTTTTTTGATATGAAAAGTTTCCCAGTGTTGACGGGTGAGGGATTGAACCAGGTGTGCGACATCAGACGTGCAGCATTAGCAGTTAACGCCAGGTCTCAAATCGGTGTCTTGAATTTTTAGCACTGTACAGAATGGACGACCACTCAACTTACATTTCCGTGTGAATAGTTTAAGAGAAGTCTTTTTAAAAGTAGTCCCGTTCCGTGTGCCATGCTAGGTTTAATTCCACCTACATACCCTATATTGGGCTGGCGCCTCTTCTCTCTCGTTCTCATACTTACTTCCTCATTTCACTAACTTTTTGCCATCCATGTGGACATTCCATGCTTATCCTCTGACACCCTTAACAAGCTCAATCGACATTTACTCATTGTCCTCTGACATTCTACTCATTCCCTACTGAATTTATTTACTTAGTTATCAACAATATTTTACAGAGGTGCCTAGTTCAGCAAAGCTGGTTTGAATGGGGCTCTGTTTAAATTAAACTTACTGACAGAAAATATAGTACAGAATACAAAAATTAAAGTTAGAAAGTACCTAAGATTAAAACACTTAACATTTAGTATTGCATGGCGCACAGGGTTAATTTTTAGCGAGGTCTGAAATGCTTTTTAAGGCCAGACTTGAATATTGTCAAGTCGTGAATATGTGATGTGAATAGATTAGGTTTCTCATAGGGAAACTAGCGAAAAATGAGTTAAAATTAAAAACCTATTCCAGCTCTAGAAAGCGCACCTTTATTTTAGTAACCCTACAAAGATCTAACACCGATATTTCACCTATAATATAACGAATCTTTATTGGTTCCTAGGGTTAATTAAGTAAGGGTGCTCTTTCCAGTGCTGGTATTGGTTTTTCAACCAGTTTAAAATTTACCTCGTTTGAATTTGTGGCTGCCATTTTGGCAAAGGATCTGTTACAAGTACAGTTAGACCAAGTTTCAAAACATTTCATCAGTTCCATCGACGATTTTTAATGTGCTATTATAGAGCCATACTTTTCTGGTTTTGAAGGTTTTTGTAGAATCGATGGCCAGGAACATTTCTAAAATTCGTTTGATCTCCAAAACATTAGCATTCAAATTCTCATTACTTAGACTTTTTTGGTGTAAATAAATGGAACGTTACTGCGGTTCACGAACGTGTACTGAAACTTTGGGCCGGTTGTTCTAAACTGATACTGCAACCTGAGAACAGCCGTCCTTTCGCTCGCTCCTCGGCGGAAGTCTCATGTAGGCAATCCCAGGGAGCGAGCGAAAAGGCAGGAGCTTCCTCAGGCTAAAAGTACTGTTGCCTGATTTGTGCGCATGCGCATTAATCGATGCCGGAGTGTCAAGTACAATCTAGGTTCTCGCCGTGATAAGATACAGTCCAGGGCTAATGTATTGACTAATATTGCGAAGACTAACTCGATCAGTCCTGTATAATAATATACTAACATGAATAACTAATTTTAATGACATTTCACTTATTAGGGTTCAATTTTACAAAAAGCTATTTACCTGTTACAAAACCAAGTGTGGACCGTTTATTCTACTACTAGTCGAGAATTTCTGAAGTGCATGAAATGTAGTAATATTATGGATTTCGTAGACTGGGAAGCGTTTAGCATTCTGACACTCAAATGGTTTTCATATACTCGACCAATCAAAAAGCGCGATATATCCTGATGTCCAATCCGAAAGTCTTGATGTAGCAGGGGCGGATCCAGGATTTTTTCAAAGGGTGGGGGGTTGTTGCATTGATTGAGGTACTTGTTTGGCGGGAAAGTAGCACAGGGTTCCCAAACGAAAGTAGGTCTTATGAAAATGATTATTTCCTGTAGGCGAGCATGGTTGTTTCAGGTCCCACACAAGCGTATAGAAAAAAAAGCGAGCGAAATGTGTTCGGCACCCCTGTTTTAATAAAACTCACGATGCTGTTGGTGTTGTCATGAAAAAATAAATAAAAATAAAAAATCACGATGGCTCTCATAGGGGGGGTTGCAACCCCCAAAACCCACCCCTAGATCCGCCACTGTGTAGGAGCCATTCGAGTGTCACCTTGTGAAACGCTTGCCATTGATCAGGTACAAAATCTATCTTTAAGTCTCTAGTCTTTTCTCACTGGTATTATTAACATCCTTGCCACTCAAATGGCTTCCTCACTCGACTAATTAGAAAGCACGATATATTCTGCTGTCCAATCAGAGAGTTTCGATACAGAAGCCATTTGAGTGTCGCCTCGAGGCACATTTTCCATTGATACAAAAGCTATATTGTGTATATAATCTTGTCTCACTGGTAAAGTATTAACATCTATTGATTTTTCAAGCCTGTCTATTGTCTTCCATACTGTCCCTGTCCAGGTTGTTGTTGATACGGGTAGCCCCCGGGTGGAGGGCCATAGAAGTAGCCCTGTGGTACCGGAGGTTGTCCTTGTTGCATGCCGTACCCCCCGACACCACCAGGAGGTGCATAACTACCGTAACCGTATGGTGCATATCCTGGGGTTGGCATTGGTTGGTAGTATTGTTGAGTTGGATAGGAAGGTGCTGTTGGTGCACTCGCGTACTGTCCTTGTGTGGTGGCAGGGGCTTGGGTACTTGGGGGTGGAGGGCGTGGTGGAGCTTGTCTTGTGCCTATATCGATACCGAACAAATACTCGTATAAAAATTTTTTGACGATAAAGAAGAGTAGTGGTGGCAATAATTTTCTTCTTTCTTGTTTTCAAGAAGTGCAGCATCTTTACCTGTTTTTTCCTCCACTTTTACACGTAATCTGATTATAAGTTCGTTACTTTGCGCATGCTGTGCTAGCAAAAAAATCCAAAAAAATCGCTCGTCTGCGTTTCACGTAAATAACAGAACACTTCAAAATTGGAATGTAGAGTAGTCAGTTCGTACTATATATTTCGGAGACCCAAATATCTCGGTTATCTATCGGTTACATCTCGCTTATCTGTCGGCCCCGATCGACAATGAAAGAGAATCTGATATCTTGCATTACAGTAGGTATCCGCCCGCAATCAAATCATAAGAATATTGTTTTGATATAAATGCTATTTGGGTCTAGGATAATCCCAGATGTATCTACTTTTTACCTTGGTGATGTACTGGTGCTTCTGGAGTTGGTTCTGCTGGTTGATTTGCGATGGCATTTTGGAGTCCCCTATAAAAATACATATTGTATTTGAACCAGTAATGATAAAAAGGTAAATTATACACCGTGAAAAGATGAAAAAACTTACTGACGTTTCGGACGCTAGTCCTTCGTACACCGACGCAGCTCACTCTAGTTTTTAGCTAGTTATCTCTTTATATTTTATTTGATATAGTAGTAATAAATTATGAGTTCGGTGTGTGCAATGAAATAGAGAGAAGAGAGAATAATTGATATTTTTCTCTCATATTTTATTTGGATGAGAAAAGGAAAATTAAACAGAAAAAGACAAATTTACACCAGGTTCAAAAGTACTTTAGACAGCTTTCGTCAATCAAGATAACAATATATATGTTCATTATCTTGAAAACCACCGCTTGGTTGGCTGGGCACCGGCCTGTCTTGCAGGACGTCGTGGGTTCATATCCCAGCTAGTCCAACACGGTCTTAAAAAATCTGAGTAGAAGGTGCGCTTTTTTGCTCAATAAATTATCTACAATTAGTTACAACTTTTGTGCGAATTTATGACTAGATAAAATGGTGGTCCCGTCTCATTCAGATACTAAGGACTACAAGTTTATCAGTTGTTTTATACTTGATTGATGGAAAATCTTAGAACTATATTGGTGAAGTTGGGGTCTGGACATATGGGTCACCAACATATCGATGCCAGGATGTATAAATGTACACGAAAAACGTGCTTACTTGGATAACTCTTCCCTTTCTGTTTTTCGAGCAAAGACGAGGTCCCCAAGCCTCTGCTGGAATCTTACTAAAATTGGCGTTAAATCGTTGTAGAACTGAAATGAAAAGATTCAAAAAACATTATAGCAATGTGTTTGAAAAGGGGTTGCTTATCTATGATGTCTTGTACTTTCGGTGGCAGATTCAAACTATGATTGGTCAGAACATGATGTTTAACATTTCAGACATATTTTAGATGTTCAAGGGTTTCTTAGTTTGATTGTAAATCATGTGGGAAAATTGTGTTAGATTTTGAATCCATTTACCCTGGGTGCCAGAGGCCGTGTGGGGCTTGGGGGTAGAATCCATTCACCATTATCAACGAATAATGACAAATCTCGATCTTAAAATAAAAGATTTCGTAAAAAATGACTGTGAAGTCACTCGACAAAACACTGTCACGGCACATAGTTGCCTACATCTAACACACCAATCACAGCACACAAGGTCGCTGCAAATCTAACGAAGATGCTGAGACACGAAACCATGAAGGTGAAAATGAGCACGGCACGTTGGTACTGTGAGTGTTTCACGGTTCATACATCAATCTATGGGGTATTAATCCATTACGACTGAACAATATAATACATGGTTGAGCTTAAAATGACGACCGATCAGTTGCCGCCATGATCACAGGCCAAACTACTTTTAGCTTACTCATACTTCATTTCTGGCTCAACGTTAACGGTCAAAATGACCGGCAAGGCAAAGATTTGATTTCCCTGCTAGCAGAGCAGGGTTTGGCGCCACGGTGCGTTACATTTGCTCATGAGCACTACATGTAATCGGTTAAAACTGGTTTTGTTCGTCCACGATTGTGGGCGGCGGTGTATCAAAGGAAACGCTCTACATCGGCAGTCTCCTTCCTCCCCGCCTGAAAGAAGGGAGAGAAAGAGAAGAGAGACTCTGCTAGCAGGGAAAGATTTGACCGGACAAGTCCAGGTTCTGGCCGTTATTGTTAGCCCTACATGAGAAGAAGATAAATGGTTTGAGTATTTCTAACCTTTGTTCCTTCTTTAAGGTTTGCAGTCAGTTCCATGTAACTGTCATAAGCTGTTGCCAAGTCTTTTAGCTTGGCTTCTCTCTCACTAACAGCTTGTCCAGATTGCTTTTCTTGCACGAATTTCTCATTGGTAGTCTATTTAATAGCAGTCATGTGTTAATATTTTTTACATTTTCTCATTCTTTTTTTATAATTTATTTTATTCATTATTAATATATTTTAAATATTATGATTCATTTGTAAACAAGTTTTAAATATCATTAATTTAAGTACATTATATTATTGTAAAGCGCTTGTGACAGCAATGTATGAGCGCTATGTAAATTAAATTATAGTAATATTATTTTTAGCTAACCACAAACAAATATTCATTTCATTATTTCTTACAAACTCCTTTCATCCATTTCTTTTTCTTTTGGCTATTTTTCATTTTTTGCCCCTATTCCATTTTCCATTTTACTTTATATTCCCCACCCTAATCTATCACCTGTGCTATAATAGCGGTCCAATGTCCTATTCCATGTCTTATTCCATTTTCCATTTTACTTTATATTCCCCACCCTAATCCATTACCTGTCCTATAATAGCGGTCCAATGTCTCTTGACTTTGCCTATCCTATACTTCTTATCGTCATGATGACTCATCGCTCCAGGAGGCGCGTAAGGCCTTCTATACTTCTTATACTATATTCAAATATCTGGATGCAAATATACCAACTCCTAGTACTGACCTGTACAGCTGCAAGGACGCGTTCCTGTCTGGACATACTTTCAGAAGCCCTTTCTTTGAGTGGATCATAAGTACTTGCTATATTACCCCCAATGATACTCTCCACGTCTGACACAGACCCATCTGCAGCAAGAGCGCTCAGGAACTTTACAGCTATGCAGCAAAGACAGATATCACGATTGTTAACAAATTTAGCATATAGACTGTGGTTTCCAATTAGAATTTCCAATGAGAAACAGACGGTACCTACTAACAGCACGTACATGGTACGAAATGCCGTAACACTGAAATGGCTTCCCATAAGAATAGTGGGAAAAATACGGTATCTACTAACAGCACGTACATGGTACGAAATGCCGTAACACTGGAATGGCTTTCCATAAGAATAGTGGGAAAGATACGGCACCTACTAACAGGACGTACATGGTACGAAATGCCGTAACACTGAAATGGCTTCCCATAAGAATAGTGGGAAAAATACGGCACCTACTAACAGGACGTACATGGTACGAAATGCCGTAACACTGAAATGGCTTACCATAAGAATAGTGGGAAAGATACGGTACCTACCAACAGCACGTACGAATATGCTTTCCATAAGAATGGTAATCGTATAAGTGGGAAAGATACATACTGACTTACAGCATGATATGACGTAGCACTGAAATGGCTTTCCGTTGTCTTTCAGTAATTCATCCAATCACAACGCGTAATTTATGTCTGTTTTTTTTTTTTTGTACGAAAATCGTAATCGCTCTGTACCGTTTCTTACTGTAACCGTAACGACTCGTTGGTATTGGATGATCCGAACAAAAGCAATGGGAAGCCATTTTGATGTCACGGTATATCAAACCGTGTACGCGCTGTAAAACTCTTATATTTGAACAGAGGGTTGACCAGTAATCTATCCAACCACACAAACATCTATCTCAGTCTATTGACTCCAGCTCACCCATATCATCTTGTTGTGCCTTCAGTTCTTCTTCTAAAGAGTCACGTTCTGCCTTGATGTTTTCAATCTCGTTCATCAGTTTTCTTAGCTCCACAACGGTGCTACTTCCAGCAGCATTTGAAGAGCCTCCACTAATTTTGGGCAGGAATGCAGCGATTTCGGCCTGAAAGAAATGAGGCAAAAAATGAGAAAATCATTGTTTTGAATCAAAACCAAATTCTTAATAACCGGGACATATGAATATTATCATCCATAAGGTTACAGATTCAAGTGGCTTGGATGCCACATAAAATGGCGGTTCCATCTCTCCATTGACACACTACCTCACTTTGCATCGGAGGGACATAAAAGAACCACTGAAAACACAAAAAGACTCTGACAGACCACACTCAATGTCTGTCCTTTACTTAATGGGTTGAAAATGGGTGCACTATGTACCTCGGAGGGGAACTTGGGTCCTATATACCTCCTTTGCACRGGTGCAATGTTTCCCATTTCAGACCACGTGTCATTCCCTTTCGAATACAATTCTTTGTTTGACTTCTATCATTAATCATGTGTTTTCTCAACGGAGCGCAACCGTTAAACAAAGAAATGATACTCTAGAGAATTAGTCTGAAATTGGAAAACATGACAACAAAGCTGAGAAGGTCTACTGTGCATCGCCAGCAAAATATCAAAAATCGAAGTTTACCTCGCCTTTGCACAATATATCCATTGCTTTTCTGTGTGTATTATACTTTTCCCGCACAATCCCATCAGCACAAACAGCATTCTCCAAGATCCCTTTGTATTTATTTGTTTCTTCTCTCAGCTGTACTGTGAGTTCAGCAGAAGGTTTGGGAGTCCATTTTTCCTTGAAGCGATCTCTCATCTGAGTGTCGTTACGTTCTTCCTCGTCCAGTTGGCGGATACCCTAAAAACGATGGTGCCAAATATCTAAGAAACTGTTCCTTGAACTTAAAATAACGGCAAAATAACAGAATTGGACTTCAGTTGTCTGGTCAAATCTTTGCCTTATCGGTCATTTTGGCCAGTGACGTTGAACCAGAAACGAGGTATGACTGAGCTAAAACTAATTCGGCCAGTCATCATGACTGGCGACTTACCAGCTGTTACTTTAAGCCCTGTCTTCTATTGTGTGTGTGTGTGAATGGGCGGGGGGGGATGTGAATGAGGGGGGCAGGTAGAGTTGGGGGAGGGGGTGGAGTAGAGAGTAGGGATCTCAAAAAAAGTTCAAGGGGGGAGTAAAAGAATCCAGAGTTTCAAGAACAGTTAACAAAAAAGTTCTTTTATAATATAAAACGTTCATAAAAATTTTGGTGGGGTGGCTAACAACTCTTAAAATATATTTAAATTTGACAGTTCAAGTATGCATTACTGTACCTCATCTAAAATTTCTCTGTTTCTTTGCAGTAATTCAGGCAGTTCCTGCATAAGTGTGTCTATAGTTGCCACACCACCCCTTTCTCTGATGGTAGCTGCTTTTTCAAGGACTGATTTGGGTACTTTATCTCCTGATAGATCCTCAATAGCAGCTGGTAGGTTCAGAGAAGCAAGCACACTACAAACGAAAGAAAATACCAAAAAATCTTTAGTATTCATGTTAGAGATTAGCCATCTTGTATGGGGATCTGAGAATCAAATCCAGCAATGCATGTATGAGACTTAACCATCCTAAACTTCTATCTGACAAAGAGGACAGAGGATGCCCAAAGAAAAGAAAACATTGAGAAACATTGAGGCTACTGTTGGGAGACTGGCCATGAACAAAAAGAAGTGTGACCTTTTATGGGCAAAAAGAAGTGAAGTACAGATCTTGACTTTTAGAAGGAGATGGTGATTTGTATTACAGCCTATTTCGTAACCCTAACTCTACTCATCTACGACACCAAAGCTAACAGGAGTTCCTCGAACCTGGGTCACATTGGTGAGGGGCAGAGCACTAACAGAGCACACCAGTTGTGCTCTATTTATCCGAGTTTATTCTGATCGCGAGTGAGAGAAATTTTTATTACAGAAATTGGAATCAAATTATCTTTGTTTATTTAAAGGTGTAGGAATGGTTGTCTGTATTGGTTAAGTGAGAATTTTATTTTTGTTCTTGCAGATCAGAATGAGCTCGGCCTGTTGTAAGTTTGAATGAAAGTAGCCAAAACATCGGGAGTCAGTTACATCGCAGAAACATGAAATGGGCTGTAAATTCTTCTTTTCTATCTCTTATAACTGGAACATTTTAGAAAAGTGTCTTTCTTTACCTGTTAATTAGCTGAGTTCCTTCACGAAGTCTTCCAACTTCCACGTTAATGATCTCTGCTTTCCTACTCTCGTATGCCACCAGTGCATTATGGACTGCCATGGGGACCAGCTTGGGGAACATGTCCATGAAATTATCTGATGCTGGTTTAGACAAGAGAAGTTGTTTGGCCAGAGCTGCACGGCCAATGACAGCCATCTTATCATTACTAGGAATCATGTCATGATAAATCAAGTTGTTATCTTTGTCTGCCTCGGCATGTGCTCGCTTGATACGATCTACCCATGCCTGTTGAATGGACAATAGAATGCTGTTAATGAGGTAGCCAATTGCCCTATTTCACTATGATGTCACATCAAAACAAACTATTGTTAAAATGCAAAGGATCATGGTCGTCGCAGGGGGTCAAATTGTTCTAAAACCAGTATCAATCCATGAAGAGAAGTAGAATAGCAAGCAAATGCTCAGAATATTTTTTAGTACATATTAACACATATTATATCTGAAAACCAGGCCATTTTAGATCATACTGTTTCGCTAGGAGCAAATTGTGTTGAATTTTGTAATGGATTTGGCGATTCTATCCCCCACATAAACAAGCAGGCGTGACGTCATATATAGTGAAATAGGGCAATACTGAACATGAAGTATTCATTGATTATTAATAAGTGTCTAATAAGCTAACAAAAGAAACAAAACCTATATAATACCTTGGTTTCAAATAATCCTAGACTCTCTTTCTGAGCTGACTCAGACAGGTCTTTTGCGAGCTGAAATTATAAGAGAATAGTCTAAAATTAGCTATTATAAGGGGGTAAATAGGTCTACCGTTTGGTGAATGTCAAATAACTTAGTCCAGATTAATATTCAGAGTAAAATCTTAACAGATTGGCAGACCCTGCAAGTGCAGCGGATCACAGATTTCATTAATTTTTTGGGGGGCCTGGATTTAAGTTTTGCTGGTTATAGAGTTCAGATCATCAATCTAAACCCTCTTAAAGAAATGCTTTATGTTTGTTTTTGTTGGCTAAAACAAAAAGTACAAGGCAACTTTTGAGGGTGCTCTACACTCATGTCCTTATGAATTAATTATGAATTTAGCAAATATGATTTCTGGTTAGAAAGTAGTTAATACCAAAGATTCACACTATAACAATATTAATTTAAAAGTTACCTTCATTCTTGCCACATTTTCTCCATATGCCCCCTTATCCTTAGCAACCAATCCCTGATGATAATTAGCTATGGCTAAAAAGTAATTTTGTTTGGCTCCAAGTACAGCGATCCACTCCTGAAAACAAGAGATTAATTTCAATAACCAGCAATAATGGCAAAAAGTGCCAAAGACTAGACTTTCATATGAGTTTTGATCCCAATTTTTGTTTTGAGTTAACACTCAAAACCTTTTATAAACAGTTAGAAACTTATGTACTATGATAAAATGCCTGTTTGAAGCCGTATTTTCAATTTGTACAAAGATGTTTTGTTGCATTTGTGTTAGAATGTTGCTTTATCAGGCTTTTTTATAGAAAATATATGGGAAATGAGCAAATGAAGGCCTAAACTTCATTTTCAAATAAAAATTTTTTGCTTTGGGTTAATACTTTGATTCCACTTTCATCAGTCATCTCCACTTCCAAACAAGTTAAACTTTCTGAATAACAAGATTTTAGCAACGTACAACAGCCTTTCTTTAAGAAAATAGTTTTTGGCACTCACTGCTTGAATACGAAAAGAATTCTCTCTTAACAATTTACAACAGTTTCAAGTGGTATGTCATGCATGAGTGTTACTAGGTGTTTGGAATTCTGGGTTCAGAAATCTGCCTCGTCAAGGGAATTAAGTTTTACATTTGCTGTCTTTTGCTTTTCTAGCCTATAATCTACAAGTATGTACAAGGGCCTTTATTCCTTTTGATTTTGAATGGATATCATGTCATACCTTTTCTAGTTGTTGTCTGACACTAGATACTTGACAAGCTTGGTTTGCTTCTCTGTAAAGATCAGATGCTTGGGCTGCTACTTTGGCAATGATAGCTGACTTCATGTTATCTGGTTACAGAGAAAAAAATCAAATTTCAAGAAAACCCTTAGCCAAAACAACCTAAGGGCTGATCAAAGCCAGGGCACTGCTAATTCAATTGCTATAATCAAGATTGACCCCTTAGCCATGACCCCCCAACCCCCCTGCATAATACCATAACCCCAATTCTTGACCATGACCCCCCCCCCCCCCAATATATGTTTTGCAATAACTATTAAAATGTTTTCACCAGAAGAAGTATAATAGAAACACTAGCAAAGCTACAACTAGACGTTCATCATTGGATTTGCAACTGCAAGCTAATTTAATATTCTTTTATGTTTGTTTTTTTGGGGGGGGGGGGGGTATGGTAGGGAGGTCATGGCATCAAGTAGGGTCATGACTGTAAACCTCAGAATGTACCATGCTCACTAATATATCTAAATTTCACCAAACTAAGGCCTTTGACCACAAAGAAATAGCAAGGAAAGTGGAGGAAGAAAATCATTAACAGGCATCATTGTCAACAGAATACCTTTCTCAGTTTTGTGCCATATTGCCTCTTGTCCTTGAGCAAGCATGACAGAGCTTAGTGCATTAAGCATTTCTATTGACATGTCTGGAGTTGGTACTTGATGCAGCTGAGGGAAAACCAAATCCTTCAACATCTGAAAGCAGCCACTTGCATTCTGGGGAAAAGTAAAAAATAATACAAACTAATTAAGGCATAAAGAATTATGAAGCAAACAACATTTTAGGGACTTGGTCTATCAATGCAATTATTGTGCAGTAAATTGAATATCCTTTGTAATGTATAAATATTGAGGATCCCCTTGCACTGAAAAGAGAGAGGAAAACCAGAGAACCTGGTGAAAAGACCTAGGAGCAAGTGAGGACTGTAGATAACAGCTCTGTTCACACATGCCTTCATTGAGATAGGCTTTGAACAAACAAGCAACCTGGTCCATACAGTATAGTACTCTCAGTTGTCATTTAAGTTGGAAAATCTTTAATTACTTAGCTACTCTCTTTGCTCTTTTCTCTCTCTTTTCCTTTACTGGGCTTCCTGTGTTAACTGAGAGTTCACCACCTTAGGCTTCCTTGTTTTTACCACAAAATACCCATACAGCCACAAACACCAAACCAACAAAAGCCTTAGCGAGTAGCTTGCAGAGGAGGCTATAGCTGCACCACCATTGCCAGTACTAAACTGACCTACCTGAAACAGTTTTGCTGCTAGTTTTATTCCATCTTCAGAATGGAGATTCTGGGAGCTAGCTATCTGACTTTGTAGAGAACCAATGTTGTAGAGAAGACAAAGTCTTTCAAATGCACTGCTGGAAATGGCTGAAAGAATCAAAAAATATTATTGGTATACAAAACTCGTGATTGTATCTAGCCAATACAACACGGTTGCTCATATTGTAAACATTACTTACAAGCTTTTTTGCTTCCAAAAAGTGAGCCTTTATCAAATGCATCATACCAGGTAAAAGATACACGGATCTACACAAAGAAAAAAAATTAAATGAATTGTGATTAAAGTCCAACTATTCCCACGCTATAGTCTCTCCATAAATGTAAAAAGTACATTTGATAAATTATATTCTTGTGATTACCTGAGATTCACTGATGGGTAACTTCCCATCCATTGCTACAAGTTGATCATAGTACCTGCAAGAAACAAATGTGTTTTCCATTGATGGAATACATGTATAAGAAAAGCCCAATGTGAACTAAATGTCTTCTCTTGATCAATTGCTTATTCTGATAGAGTTTTGGCAGACTTGACATAAACTTCCAAGCCAAAATGCAACTGAGTTTCCCCTACCTCCTAATACTCCATCTACCACTAACCCTCAAGTCTCGAACTCTCATCACATTCACTTTTCCCTCCCTATTCCATCCTTTATACATTAGCCCTAATCCATGCTTGGCCAAAAACCAAAAGATAGGGAGAGTAACAAAGAAAGGTAGAGACCTCACAGTCTAGCTGGCTGCCAGTCAATAGTTTATGTTGAGGCCAAATAAAAAAATAAGTGTGTTTCCTGTTGCATGAGAAAAATAACTGGGGTTGGCAGGTCGGATTTTTTTTATTTTACTGATACAACAGTGGAAATGAGCTTAGTGGGAATCCTGTGGTGCATTTGGAGAATGAAAAAAAGGTTGGGGTCGGCAAAAATTGGCAAGAAAATTAGGTTTGGTCACGCAAGAGGAAACACTGACAGACTTTCGTCATACAGTATATTAATGTGACAAGATGAGGTCATTAAAACTTTGAACCCTGATTTTATCATATAAGATTTCAAAACTTAAAAATATATTTATTAGAAATCCTGTGTTGCCATAGTATATCCATATTATTACCAAGCAATGAAAATAAACTTTAAAATTAACTAAAAATAAAGACATGGTATTATGTTAATGAATTTTAAGGTTGTACTTCTTGTGTCCAGTTTGAGTCAGCTATCATTCACCCTTCAAACGATTTCATAATACAAGGATTTATTTTATGAAATAAAATGAATTTACGCAGTCTCAAACGGTAAAGATACRAGTAAAGCCTTAGATATACAATTCATTTGCATCTATTAGAATGGTACCATTAACTCACCTTAGTAGAGGCTGTAAAGCCGATTCATGTTTATCAGCTACCTGCATCACAGCAGTATTTCGAAGCTTGTTCAACTCTGCAATCGCGTCCGAATTCTCGCTCAAGACTTCCTCGGAAAACGTATTCTTGATAAACTTTTCTAAAGGCTTCTTGAAGTCCACCGCCTCGGTCCTTTTGGAGGGTATGACAATCCATCCCGCCATTTTCGATTGAATTTTTCGTTTCTTTTCCTCCTTGGTTTGAAATTCTCAACGAATATTGAAGGAATACACTGTTACTATAAATAGACCAGACCGAGGGGGGCTAGGAACTAAACTAGACGAGGAAGACTGGGACTAGCAGCCGAACGAGGCTTAGTGTCCAGTCTTCTATATGACCTAACGGCCAAGATGGCGGACGAACTGATCTGACAGAAGTTTTTAAAAGATTATCGAGAAAAAGAGAATATATATGGCATCCAAGTGGAAACCAACGTTTTGGAAGCCAGGTATCACATAAGTGATGTTTAGTTTCATAAATGTTATTGTTAAAATGATCCTTTCGTGATTCGTTTAATGGCTGTGAAACTAGTATATATGCTGTGTCGATAAAATAACGTTATAATAATATAGACAAAACTTACTATTAGTATTACACAGCAAAATACACTGCATCCCCATCATATTTCGAACCTTGTGTCCTTTATCTATTAAAGAAACCTGATTAGCTGACACGTGTGTGTAACGAAATTGCATGAAAAGTTTGTGCCAAAAGGTTTGCCCTGTAAGCCTACATTCTCATCAGCCTTGTGGATCGTGAGACTTTCTTAGAAGGAATTGAAAAGTTTGACAAATGAGTTTTCTTTTTTCTGATTCCCCTCAAACTATTATCTTATGAATATGTGTTTACAGGGAAGTAATAGTTGTAGTTGAGAGGATACTAGTTGAGTGGAGACGAGGAATGGATCAGGGAGAAGAGAGCAACAGCTAAAAAAAGATAAGGGAGGAGAAAGAAAAATGGCATAGAAAATATGGACCGGTGTCCATCTCCACTCTAGTTGGTGTTCTGCTTGAAAATCATTTTTAAATGTTTCTTTAGGTTCTGAGGGCCCTGGTAGTAGTATAGCTGAAGAGAGAGCTAATAATGAGGAGGCTGGTGCATCAACAGTGTATAATCCTAATGCATCCTTATCTATCACACTGCAAAGACAAAGACTTCCTATATTCAAGGTATATTTGGAAATTAGACTTACTTGTTGCACAGCACTTGTAAATACACAACCTTGCAAAATAGGGATAATAATGTTGTAGAATAGTCCTTGTACAGGTAGGATATGCCTTGTACTTCAATTCAAATACTGTAGTTCTGAAAAATATGTCATGGGCTTTTCTGGCTATAGCTTTTCCATTATGAGATATGAGGTATTAGAATTGACCTCTTAACCTTGGGATCACCTTTTTCTCATTTCAGACCACATGTCATTCTATTGGAAATGACTTCTTTTGTTTGAGTTGTATCCATATTTTTGTGCCAATCTCATGCTCAACCATTATGGGTAAACAAAGAAATAATAAATGGGAAACTTTATGCCCCAGCTAAAGATGTCTATTTAGAAGGCATATAACTTCTCTATCACTTCCAACTGATTTGAGTTTATTTTCTCCTAAACAGCACAAAACAAATATCCTGTATCTGCTAGAAAAATATGAGACAGTTATCATTGTGGGTGAAACAGGATGTGGAAAGTCAACCCAGGTAAAAACTAATAGCCAGTTAGGGTCACCTATGAAAGCTTTTGCCATAAATCATAAATTATATTTAATACCTCTCTTTTTATCTTCTTTTAGATTCCACAGGCAAGTAATGATGATGGAGATCTCTGTTATAGACTCCACATCTGAATAATGCATCTTGCTGATGTAACATCCTATAGTGTACAGATGGAGGAAAGGAAAACATAGTCTATCAAATAAGTAAATGATAATAATAAATAAATGGGATTGAACAATCAATGGCATTTCCAAACAAAATGGCATTTCCATTGAGTGACTCTTCATTCTTTGAATTCCAATTGGAATTTAAAAGTTGATTTTTGTGTAGAGAGGAAAACCAGTTAATATGGCAGTTAATATGTTGTATTTTTATTTTAGTATTTATTTGAGAATGGTTGGACCGCAGATGGCAAAAAGATTGGAATCACTCAACCAAGACGAGTGGCTGCAGTCACGGTAAAACTAGACAGGGTCACAATAGGGGCCATAATCTAGCTGATATAGCATGCACATATACCCCCACCCCTAGCATGGGAGGGTACCTCTGAGCACTAACCCATACATGCAAGGATAAAGTGCCACCAGCATTGCCTTTTCACAGGGGTGGAGAGGGGGAAAGTTTTTTTTCACATGAGAAAAAAACAGACGGCACGAAATTCTCAGGAATTTGTTGTCTCACTGGTATATGTCGTGAGATGTTTGTTTACAGTGTTTAGTAATTTCAACTTGTTAAAATATAGGTTGCAATGAGAGTAGCTGAAGAAAGAAGCTCATTCATTGGCCAGGAAGTGGGTTACTGTGTAAGATTTGACAATTGTTATGACCCACACACTACGATGATAAAGGTACAATTATAATAATATGAATGCAATTAAATAATTTTCTTTAGTGGATAACACTTGAGAAAAGAGTATTATAGGTACTCTATCCTTATAATAAGCCAAAGTCCAGCCAAAATCAAAATCTGCAACCCACAGTTCTTCTCTGTAGGGGATGTATCTTGTATTTTTTAGAAATAGCCTTCTGAATGAATCAAGGATTATTAAGTGGTAACTTGTGCACTTAGGACTGTGTCTTGATTCAATTCCTGTAACTTGAATCAAGACGAGGGAGAGACCCCACAATTAAACTCTGCTCATATGAGATGCAATATGAATCTATGTCATCCTCTAACTGAATTTGGTAAAGAGGTTGTTTCAGGCTTCACTAAATTTAAGGATTTTTTTTAAAGTATATGACAGATGGGATACTATTGAGAGAAATCATGGGAGATCCTCTGCTTACCAAGTACAGGTGTGTGCAGTCTAATGATATTAGTTCCTCTTATACAGCTGCATATAGTCATATCTGTAAATATAATTATTGTTATTCATCCTGGAAAGCTCTAATAATCATTTACTTTTGAAAAAATTATGTTTACTGAAATACCATAGCATGCAATTTTAATTATTAGATTTTGCTTGCTATTTACATCATTCACTGGTATTTCTCCTGATTTAATTGATAGTGTTATTATGATTGACGAGGCTCATGAAAGAACTCTTTACACAGATATCATTTTGGGTCTTTTAAAAAAGGTTGGTCTTGGAATCCTGGAACTATACTAGCTCAGACATCTATGCACTTACATATGAACCTAATAATATTCTTATAAATATTGAATGATTTTTAGATAAAGAAAAAAAGAAAGGATTTGAAAATAATAGTGTCTTCAGCAACTCTTGATGCAGAGGTAAGTTGGGGTCATACATTAATGAGATTGACTTTAGATTGACATTTTTAGATTTGACTTTTTTTCATGGCAAACGTGACCTTGCACCTTTTCATTGTTTTCGTGTATTTTACATATTAAGCTATCACAAACTTTCACACCAAATACAAACATTCCTTTGTTTTTCTACTTTTATGATTCCTTTTTTTAGTAATTTAAAAGAATTACTCACTGTCAACTGACATTTCATGTACTTCCCATAAATGTACATTATCTAAAACTCTCTATTAGAGAAAGAAAGCCAGTTATTTCAAATACTGACAGTTTTCTTGATGAGCATTCAAATTTGGTGGGAAAACTAATTGATTTTTTTCTTCAGATGTTTAAAAAATATTTCAACACAAATATTACAAGTGATAAAAGGTAAAATTTCATTTTTTCATTTCATTTTGATTTCTATTTTTTTATGCGTGTTTTTTATTTATTTATTGTGAAATGCATCAGTCTGTAATCATAATACTGGTGTGTTATGCCACAAGGTATGTTCAATAGAGGCTTTGCACCATCATGTGATGGCGGCCATGACAGGAGGCAGGAACAATTAAATCTGGTCTAATCTGATTTACATGAGAAAGAATTCAGTTTCCCAGGGGAGAACGACTCTATTGTTGTGCCTCCTGTTATGGCTGCCATCACGTCATGGTGCAAAAACTCTATTGAGCTATTCTCAGCACTTTAATGATTATGTAGTTTTTCCCATCTCTTACCTTTATTAATAGACCTTCTTATCTTGGGCATGTCATTTCCAAATTTAGACCATGTATCATTTTTTTCCAAAATAAGGCTTACATGTCTTCTTATGCACAACCTTTGAAGAAAGAAATCATTGATGCTCCATGACCAAATGTGATCTGAAATGAGAAAACATTATGCCCAAAAATAAATAAAGAGATCTCGTACATGTATGGTATATATGATGCTGTCAAGTGACATTATAGTATTGAACACTACTCTGCTAAGGACTTTACATATAGAACAGAAACGGTAAAGGAAGAGAATGGAAAAAAGAATGAATGAAAAAATGTGATTTAATTATTTTGCACGCTAGAACTTTTCATATATTACCAGCTGAATGATGATTATTTTTGTGCCCACTGTAGCAAAGACACAGCTGCTGTCCTTTCTGTGGAAGGCAGATCGTATCCAGTAGATATACACTATACCTTAAGGTATTAATACATGTAGGAACAATCGGTATTGACTTGTGGTACCAGTAAAATATCCCTTAGATACCTCATTAATGTTCATAGTGACTATTACTATACACAATATGTTGTTTAGCATATAACATGCAAACAGATTTATTTTTTGAAAATATTATTTGAGAACAAATCCCAGATTTTTACTTCCAGAGTTAGTGGGTGCCAGGTGGGTACCCCTATCCACTCCATATTGGGTGTTATAACAATAGACAGGCTATGCTTGAGTTTCAACCCAAACAATGAGTAGTTTTTTCAATGGAATACAGAATGTCTGACCAACAAACACAAATTTATGAGAATATTTTTAGTAGTTATCAATTTTTTCTTAAATAAATGTACCTTTAGAATGCATTTATTCTAAGGCAGACATTTACAACTGTCAGCCATCATTGTCTGTTCCATATACTGTATATCAAAAACACATTTTAGCTTGTCCSACRTAGCAAAAGTWACTGGGGAGGTAGAACAATGAATGGGGGATCGGTGTGATGTTCTGATCTTATCCCATACTTTCCTATGAGTAAAAATTCCATGTGAGACCAATGACAACTTTTGATAGCAACCTACAATGTATTGCAACTCATTGTTGTGCTGATATTATGGATATTTTCCCTAAACAGTCCAGTTCCAGATTATGTGAAGGCTACAGTTGATACAGTAATGGGTATTCACCTGGAGCAAGGGCCTGGTGATATACTGGTCTTTCTCACTGGTCAGGTAAGTAAAGTACCCTGTAAAAAAGGACCCTTTTAGGTCATAGCTTCTTCAGGTTCAGCTCCAGGCCTTTTAAGGGTGGGGTAGGGGATCAGCAATCATTTAGTTCATGGATAAGGATTTAATAATAATAACACATTCAAGCATAATAAAAGAGGGATCATAGAAAGATGGTATAATTGTTTTTCGTTTCTAACTTTAAGGATGAAGTTGAGTCTGCTGTGGAAAAACTTATGTAAGTAGCTGGATATTTGTCATTTACTTTAATGCAGTGTCCATCCACTCATCCATCCATCTACACGTACACATCCCTCTATCCATCCATCCTTTCACATACCCACCCATCTCTGTCCCCTCACCCCTCTCTCTAGCAATCCATTGATCCACCCAAGTATCCACCTGTCCATCCATCCACCCATCTCTGTCCACTCACCCATCCCTCTAGCAATCCATTGATCCATCCACCCATCTCTGTCCACCCACCCATCGCTGTCCACTCACCCATCCCTCTAGCAATCCATTGATCCATCCAAGTATCCACCTGTCCATCCATCTGACACCGATCCATCCATCCATTGATCCACCCACCCATCTCTGTCCACCCACCCATCTCTGTCCACTCACCCCTCCCTCTAGCAATCCATTGATCCACCCATTCACCCAACCATCCATCCAGCTGTCCACCCATCCATCCTTGTTAATTCATTTTCTTTTTACCATTCAGTGAAAGAGCAAGAGCAATGCCTAAAGGATCTCGTTACCTGAAAGTCCTTCCGATGTACAGTGGCTTACCTCATTCAGAGCAGGTACATCACCTTCCTGATCCTAACCATGGATATGCGATGATGAAAAAGATCTTCCTCACCCAGACTATTTCATATAGATTTTTTTTAACTAACCTATTTAATAATCAAGGTATTTTTGTTGCTTGGATAGTTATTAAATATGTGAATTGTGTTTCTCCAGAAAAAATTTCGAATTTTTTGGTTGACAAAGTACAATTCACATCTTTAATCCATTCATATAAATGTAACTTATTTTTTCATTTATTATTCATTGAACTGCAAATTTCTGCAATGAAAACCAATGCACTTTCATCTACTTTTTGTTTTTGTTTTTAGATGCTTGTGTTCAAAAGAGCTCCACAGAATACAAGAAAGGTATGTCTTGAGTATTCTAGACTTAGTGTCAGTGTTATTTGAAAATATCCTATGATGTAAGTAAAAGGCTATATAGGGAATAAAGGGTGGTGAAGCAGTATTCACTCGCCTAGCTCTCTCTGGGGTCTCAGGTTCGATCCTTGGACTTGGCATCACATGTGAGTAGAGTTTATGTCCCCCTTGATTCGAGGGATCAGTTTTCTCTCGGTTCTCCAGTTCCGGTTCCTCCTCCACACAAACTAACACGCTTAATTCCAATTCAATCTGTGCAACAGCAATACCCTGACTTGATCAGCCCAGAGATTGTTTCAGAATTATATAAGATTGCGCATTAATTTTCTGTGTTGTTCTTATTCCTACTAGGTAGTTGTGGCTACAAACATAGCTGAAGCGTCGATAACTATCGATGGCGTTGCATATGGTACTTAACAGTTCTCGAAATTACATTATTTGGATATCAAAACTTCGCTTATGTTAAAAATGCTTCGACTCTTTGCATTGAAAAATGTGTTCAGTCTTTAGCTGGCACGTTTCCCAGTTCATACTTTCAAAACATTGTAACAAAAGTTCAAAAAGATTTTACGTTTCTTCTAAAAACTCCATTAGAAGAACGCTAATTTGTTTTTTTTCGTTCTTTCTTTCTTTTCTGGATAAAGTAATTGATTGTGGGTTCGTCAAGATGCGAGCATACTCTCCAAAGACTGGCGTAGGTAGGTAAATAAGAAAAGATACATGATCAAAAACCAGAAAAAAATCAAATTTCTGTTAGTTTTCCATCATTGTACAGCTGAATACGCCCACTGCATTGTCTGGTCGCCCGTTTTTGTTTTTTGTTTTCTATTGGAATGGTTTCTGTTCCGTGATGCAGTGCGTCTTTACATAGTCTCGGGCGTCTTTCCTTTGCAATACTAATGCACAGCTTAACTGTATTTATTACAACCCTAGAAAGCTTGATCGTGACACAGGTATCCCAAGCGTCTGCTGAACAGAGGGCAGGCAGGGCTGGAAGGGTTCGAGCAGGTACGGTACATCAACCTCCTTGTAATTCTTGTAGTTATAAAGGTGAACGCACGCACGGTGAAACTGTGTCACATTCTATATACAGGACTGTTGCAGCGTGTGTACACTCCTGAAACTCTTAACTCGTAACAGGCAGGCGTGGGATCGATTTCTATTTCTTCGACGTAGCGCGCAATTACTTTTATTATGTGGACAATACTGCAACGTTGTTGGCAAAGGCGCGATGTTCTCAGGCAATGAAAATCAAATTATTTTAGTGTACCGATCGTCAGAATAAGCCTTCATTAATTCATAGTTTTGTTGTATTGTTCAAAAGTGCGCAAAATCCAATATTTTTCCGAAGCGACAAAATAGGGTTTTGGTGGATGTCAACTCATAGTGTTTCCACGACATTGTCGGAAAGTTTTCAAGGGGAAGTGCGTATGGAATGTCATGAAAACGCCTTGATTGACATCCACTCAAACCTGCTTTGTCGTGAAGACGATTCCGAGCCTGCTATTGTAAAGCACTGAAAAAAGATTTATTATTTCTGCAGGAAAAGCTTACAGGTTATACACAGGTTGGTGGTCTTTGATATTCTTGAGTAGGAAGGAGTCAAGAAATTCTCCTTGTTTTCAGAAATAATTTCTTTTTTTTTTCAATTGTCGGTTCCTTTACACAGAGAAGGATTTCCACCAACTGGCTTCAGGAACAATACCAGAAATGCAGAGGTAAAACTTCAAACAAATGGAATCTTTCCTTCAATTTAACTTCAAATAACTTAGCTTTAAATCTTATCGAACCCTGAAACAACCTCTAGGCTGATCGATGTCAGATAACGCCTAACTCACAGATCTAATAGGAATTTAGTGTATTTATGTGGAAGGAAAGAAAATCCTTGAATCATGTGATACCAAGTTCAGGAATCGAGCCAGAGACCACACTGAGATGACAGGCGAGTACACTACGACTTCGCCGTCCTTGATTCGCTTTGATTGTTATCCTGGCTTTTTTACTTCAAACACAAACTCCCGTCATTCTTATAGTACATTTATAATAACTAATAACATTTAAGATACTAATGAAACTAATCATAACCACCTTAACTTTTTTTTRATTTCTAGAAGTAATCTTGCTCCTGTTTTACTACAACTCAAAAGCATGGGAATCGATAATGTGTTAAGGTTCGACTTTCCTTCTGTAAGTACCAGTACCTTCCTCTGGACAGATTTTCCACTAGTATGAGGCGAGGGAGGGTAATGCGGTACTGATTGGGTGTGTGGGGGGGAGGGGGACAATATACCAACAAGTATTAGGGTTGCAATTTCGAAATACTGGAGTTCTTGAAGCCCTCGGAATCCAACCCCTCCGTGTTGCCCAACGACAGATATCAGATCAAAAAGCCGAGATTTTTATTAAGAACTAAAGTTTTGTTTGCTGATTATTATTTTTTATCTTTTAGAAACCTCCTGCACAGTCGATGATCAGAGGTCTGGAGCTTTTATATGCGATAGACGGTAACTAAAACATCACTTCAAACACAGGATATAATATGATTGATTCTTACCCTGCCTTGGGAGTTACTGTAGTCGTTTTTGTTGTCGTTGTCTTTGTTGTTTCTACTGGCGTTCTTTCCTCTTGGTATTCTAATGTCAAATGTTTTTGGACCGAGGGGTAATGATTCCTTCTCAACCCTTAAAGATATTTTGTGCATAAAATATTTCAGTTATAGAGCTGAGGATTGCCTCTCTTGCTAACTCGTTTCAGCACTCGATGATAATGGCAAACTGGTCGAACCTTTAGGTGTTAGCATGGCGGAGTTCCCCCTGGAACCAATGATTGCCAAGATGCTACTTTGTTCAGGTAATGATAGACAAAGCCTACGGTCCTTGAATCAGGCTGCCTTGTTCTCGATCGTCCCTCCTTCCCTCCATCCATCCATCCATCCATCCAATTACCCACTACTATTCCATTCAATCTTCTTATCCAAAATATGTATCACTGAAATGTTTATATAAATGCAAAGTTTTGGAAACAAAAGAACAAAATGTGTTGCTACAGTCTAGTGCCGTTAAATATTTTTAATGGAATGTTTTTATTGACATCTTCATTCCATTCCTTTTATCAGGGAAATTCGAGTGTTCTAAAGAAATCCTTACCATTGCCGCCATGTTACAGATTCACCACGTGTTTGTCAGTCCGTCCAATCAGAAGGCAGCTGCGGTAATGTAGTTTGAATTTCAGTACAAATGCCGCCTACCTCGTCTACAACATTGCATATAGTGGTTCCTCTAAAAGGTCTTTTAATAGCTCTCCTTTTCTTCTTCTCTTTTAAGGAAAGGGCTCGCAGAAAATTCGCAGTGTACGAAGGTGATCATTTAACTTATCTGAATGTATACCAGGCGTTTGTCAAGGTACGTGGATAAGTTCAACAGACCGTTTTCTTAAGGTTGCGTGCTCATCCAACTTGACGGGCCACAAAACTGAAAAACGCAAATTCAGTAAAACCAGAAGTTCTGGTATCGTGGCCCATCAAGTTCCTTAAATTTAGATACGCACGCAGCCGTGAGAAAACGGTCTATTGCCGTTTTTCTTTTGGAAGAAAAGTCTTAAACAGGATCTCAGTAGAAAGAAAGAAAAGGATGAGGGAATAAGAATACACCCGTTTGCTTTGGGTGTAATGTTTTCCTATTTCAGACCACGTTTCCTTTTTTTGAGAATAAGATTCTTCGTTGTTTCCACATCCATGTGTCTTCTCATGCGCAACCGTTAAACACGATCTTTAATGGGGAAACATGCCCAAGCTGAAAGGGTCTATTCATTGCTAATGGCGATATGTATGAGAGGGGAGAAAACTCTCAAACGGTAAGAGAAAACTAGTTAAAAGCTTTCTAGCAACTCACATCTCGTCCCATTATTGGCTATGAATATCACTGGTACTCTACACGTTCTTCCCAAAAAGATATTCATTCGATGGTTACTCTCCTGATAGTTTTGCCTTAATGTCACTAATTTGGTGGGTGTTTTGCAGCACAAACAGAGTTCTCGCTGGTGCCAAGAAAACTTCGTCAATTATAAAGGTAATTTATTCTGTATATTTGTCAATTTTGAACATTATTAGTTGGTAAAATATATTTCTTTGCTTTCTTTATTGTGAAGGACTAAAACATGCAGTCAAAATCAGAGAGCAGCTGAAGAAGCTATTGCTACATTTTAATGTACCAATTCTAACCTGTGATGGTAAGAGTAAACGTTGTTACTGCAATACTAATTAGAGCGGTTTTCGTATAATGGGTAAACATACGGTATTGACTTACAGCACGTACACGTTACCACATGCCCAAACATTGAAATGACTTCCAATAAGAATGGTTTTCGTATTAGTGGGAAACATATTGTACTGACTTACAGCATGTAGGAGGTACCACATGCCCAAACATTGAAATGACTTCCAATAAGAATGCGTGGTTTTCGCATAAGTGGGAAACATATGGTACTGACTTATACAAAAACCGCTCTTTATAAGCCGTTCCGAGGTCGAGAAAACTGGGTCGAGTGGCCATTGCAGTGCATTGTGGTAATGTTCTAGGGGACGAAATGAACGCCATCTTGGATATATCTCCCCTAAAAATGTCTCACAATGCACTGTAATTCCAACTTGACCCAGATTTTTTCCTGAAGTTTCTTTTCATTTGCTCTGAAACGAAAGTAAAGGACTGACGTGGCATGCCCAAGTGACGGCATGTATGTGCGTGTATTTAGTTATATATATATATTTTTAGGTGATGTTGATCCTGTCTGTCAATGCATCGTCTCGGGTTTCTTCGCCAATGCAGCGCGCTTACACCCCAGTGGGTCTTACAGGTGAGATACAACTTGTACTTACTCCAACCAATATTTGTCGGTCATGCAACAAGAATTCACCTTTACGAATTTAACAATAAGACTGAGCTCTTTTTTGTGATCTCTTATTTAATTTGGCTGCCATTTATAATTTCATTTCATATATTTTCACCTCATTGTCTCACTCTTAAAGGTGTTATCTATCCTTTCTATCTCTTCATCTTCCGATGTAGACGGATAAAATTCAGTAGTACATTTCAGATTGGGGTTGTGTGAGTGAGTTCTTTGATCTCTTCGCAACCCATGCAGCAAATTCATAGAAATATGATCAATAACAATAGATAGAAAAGCAAATGAATGGTTGACATGAGTGAATTACATCAACTGAGTGCCAAGTAGTTTTTCCTATATATGCATTGTGGTCTAGCATAGGTACAGACACCATATAAGGCTCGGCATGATGAACAAAAGACATTTCTAGCTAATCTTGACCACAATGCACCACGTTCGCTAAAACGGAGCTGTTGTGGTCTTTACCCTAAATTGAACCTAATTCATCCCTTTATGCCATGAAGTTTTTACCACGCGGTACATTACAAATAAACAAATATTTTCATGCGTTTGTTTAGGACCATACGGGATGGCCATCCTCTACACATTCATCCCAATTCAGTACTTTACGCTGAACAACCGCCTGAATGGTAAGTCAGTTGCTGCGCCCAGTCACAAGCCAAGCTATTCCGAGAAACAATCTTTCCCCTTTATTGTCTTTTCGGGTACAAAAAATCTATTGGTTATACAGTGTGTGCAGCAATTTGACTCAAAATCCGCCATGTTGGTTGATCTAACAAGAGAAGCTAATGAGGAATGCTTTGTTATCTTCAACCAAGATGGCGGCAATGACGTAACATGCACATACTCTATACGTAGGGTGATCTTACTTCGCCCTTAAAAGAATAGTCAACGTTATACACAGTAGTAGACACAAATTCCATTGTTTTCTTTTGTTGTAGTATTACTGTAGTCACTAAATATACAACTTCGTTTCACGGGCCAAGTAAAATCACTACTTTACGACCGCCACGTACTATGATCAAACTGTTTTTACCGGTAAAACCTGTTTCTTTCCAGGGTCATTTATCACGAGATCCTACAGACGTCGAAATATTACATGAGAGATGTTACAAAGGTACAAATCACTGCTTCTAATACGAACCATAGATCTATATATGTGAAGTGAAATCATAACAGTCCTTCTTAATGGTATACGCGGAATCGTCGTCGCGACGAAGTAGGTTTTAGTGGACGTCAATCATTGCGTTTCCATGATATTCTATAGACACGTCCCATGGAAACTTTGTGGTTTCCGACAATGTCATAGAAACACTTTGATTGACGTCCACTAAAACCCTATTTTATCGCGACTACATGCTATTAAGAAGCAGTAATTTATTAAGTCTTTAAACTCGGAACCAGCAAATATGAAATCTTATAATAGACCTCTGGCAATTGTAAAATACAGACGTCTCTTCTTAATGCAACTCATTCATTTACTCAGTGTTCGCCTCGTTTCAGCGTCAAATATTTACAAATACTAAAATATGGAAAAATATACATCGCTTATCTTTTCAGATTGAACCATCCTGGCTTTACGAATTGGCCCCTCACTATTACGAGTACGGCACTGTAAGTCAGCATTACAATTACTTTTGTCGTTCATTATTCCTATAGCTCTGATATTCATTTAGATACCTTTTCTGTCCCTTTAGGATCGGGAGATTGCAGCTAAAAGAGCAAAACTGGAGTAAAAACGGGAAAGAACTGAGAAGAAAGGATTTAAAGCTTACGGCAGAAAATGAGTATACTAAAATGTATACTTTATGTATATTTTACTGACGTTTGGTGTACATAATTAATAAAGAAATACAAATAAATGTATAAATTTTGAATTCGCTTTCTTTTGACTTTTTCTTTCTTTCGTCCGTCCGTTCTCTCATTCGTTTCCTGAGTCGTTGTCTAACCTCTTCTCACCCTTGGCCTGATATAGAAGACAGTAGTATGACTTGTTCTAATCATTATTACCAAGCTATCATATCCCTGAGTCGTTGTCTAACCTCTTCTGACCCTTGGCCTGATATAGAAGACAGTNGGAATGACTTGTTCAAATCATTATTACCAAGCTATCATATCCCTGAGTCGTTGTCTAACCTCTTCTGACCCTTGGCCTGATATAGAAGACAGTGGTATGACTTGTTCAAATCATTATTACCAAGCTATCATATCTCTGAGTCGTTGTCTAACCTCTTCTGACCCTTGTCCTGATATAGAAGACAGTGGAATGACTTGTTCAAATCATTATTACCAAGCTATCATATCCCTGAGTCGTTGTCTAACCTCTTCCAACCCTTG